TTCATGATTAAGCAACGTACATTTTTTTTTAAGTATTTGAATAAGTTTGAAATTGAAGCTGAAATTGTTCGCATTTCGTGAAAGGATCTTTTGGATTTATATCCACAAAATTATCTGTAACAGGATAATAAAATAATGTAAGTTTTGTTTTCTAAAGAAAAATTGAGAAAAAAATCCATTTTTTTCAAATCAGTTTTTATTTTTCTAATTTTTTAACGCAGTAACGCCAATTTCACAAATTTCAACTCAAAAGTAGGGCAGAAAGTGTTTTTTATTTACCCAGCGGCAACAAAAGTCAAAGAAAAAGAAAATCGTTTGTTTTTATTTACAAAAAGGTAATAATTAACATAAAGAAAACAAAACACACACATACAAACTAACATAACCAAAACCAAAATATCTTTACAGCACACAAACACACCTACGTCAATTTGATATATTTGACAAAATTCTTCCTAGCGACGAAACCTCCAGGCACAAAATCTTCGCCTGGGAAGGCTTCGTCCACAATCGTGCCTTCTTCGGCGTAAAATCAAACCTTCAGGGAAAGCTTTAGGTTGCAATACTAAGGTCTTAGAGACGAGGAGAAAAGTGTGAAAAGTGCGGGGAAAATGTCAACTGTTAAAAAAAAAAAAAAAAATCCAAAAGAAAACTCCAAAGTTAATAGTTAAAAAAAAAAAATCCCAAGAAAAAAAAAAACATCAAAATTTAAAAATTTATACCAAAAATCCGTGTGAAATTTCGTGAAACAATTTTTTTATTTTTAATATTTCATAAAACACAAAAATTTAAATCAAAATTGAAAGAAAAGTTCAAGAACAAAAGTAAACACAAGAACCTAAAAAAAAACCTGTAAGAAGAACAAGAAATTCAACACAAAAAGAAACAATGTTTAAATAATTTTCTTTATTTAATTCAAGAATATAAAACAAATTGTGTTAGACATTAATATGTAAAAATATCATTTTTTTTATTCTTAAAACTATCACTTTTTTTTCTTTTAATTAATAAAATTTTTTTTAATATTCAATTAAATCACTTTTTTTTTTTTGTTCACTCGCGTCAGAAATATAAAGAAACTAAATGTAATGCAAAAATCAATATGTATTGTTAGTGGTGAAAAATTAAAAATGTATAAAAATATTTAAAAGCAAGTGTCAAAATAATATAAAAACAAAAATATTAGTAAAAAAAAGGAAAAAAATTAAAAAAAAAATGTACATTGAGTTCAAATGTTAATAACATAAAATGTTAATCTGTAATTTTAAACACATAAATTTTTAAAAATTTCAACAAAATTATATACACAAACATCTACAGGAAGCAGACGAAAGATCTTTCGACGTGGGATCCTGGTAAATGTAAGTTTAGTTGCTCATTTTTTTATGTTATTTTCATTTTTTTTCTTTTAAACAAACAAAATATTAATAAAAACACATAACATCCACTGATACGTACATACAGAATGTTTAATAAGTAAATATTGTTAACAGAAAAATTCGTTAACATGAGTGTAATTGTTAAAATCATCTTATATCAGTGTATGTAATGTCTTTTATTTATTCTCAAATACATTTAATATTTTACATTTCTGTAATTACATGTAAATTACATAAATGTTTAATTAACTAAATAACCCATAATTTTTCAAAACCCACCATAGTCTAGTGGATTGAGTTGTAATTTACCACTCATTAGGCCCTGGTTCGAATCCCAGTGAGGGCAAAGTAATTTTTAATTTATTTTTTTTTGGAAGCCCAGGTTCGAATCCCGGACGAGTTAAATATTTTTGTTTTTATTTTTTCTTTTTGCTTTGAGACCCAAGTTCGAATCCCGATTAAACCCAATTTTTTTTTGGAATAAATATTTTTTTAAATATTGATTTTTGCAAAAGATTTTTTTTACGCGATCTTCTCTAATTTTAATATGTTCAATATTAGTTAATTTTTTTTATATTAAACATTATGTTTAAGGATTTATTTTGTTAATAAATAACATGAATTTTAAAATGCAGTTCTAAACTGTCTTTAACTGGTTCCTGGTGAACTGTTCTGGTTAGGGTAATAATCTTTGGGATCATACTTAATACCAACAGCATTTCCCTAGTATGATCATGGTTGGGAGGGGATAAAAGATACTGTGTTACCACCTTCACACAGTGCAGTTCAATATGTTAAAAGTTCGTTTCCGTTTTCCTGTGTATTAGTCTCCCTTTCTCTTTTCTTTTCTTTGTTCATTTCTGTTTTTTTCCCTACTTTACGCACGCACAAAATAAAATAATAAATACTGTGCATGTCGACGTTTACTCTACTTAAAGTAGCAACGAATCCTCCCGATTGCCGACGAGATAGAAGCCGGAAACTAGTTGCGTGCTGGCTGCTTTAGTAGAGACAAGAGAGAACTCTGACACCATCAGATCAGTTGTATGCTACAGATCTTAAATGAATGTCTACGATGCCACATTTGTATGCAGAATAAAAACTACTGAACAAAAACCGCTTCTAAAATAGGGAAAATAATATATTCATATTACATTTTCACTTAAATTCGAATTTTAAATCGGCTGTGGTTCCTTCCTTTAACACCTAAATCTATCTAGAAAATCATTCAAATCTCCCCTTAACATTTCTATTTATATAACTCTTTAAAAAATTACTTTAAATAACTTTCAATTTGAAAAAACAGTAAAGATCCGTAATCACTCATATTATTATCTTGATATAAATTCGGCTGCCATTTTTCAAATGCAGCTCAAATCTAAAAAACCATGAAGATTTGTATTTGACTACTCATTAGACTGTCCCGAAAGACAGCACTTTTGCAAATCTTATATAGGTAGACCTCTCAAACGATGCATAGAAAACATTGTTCATATAAAATTTGGATAAATTGATCTTTAGATATCTCTTTATATTTTCAGAAAATTATCAACCAAAAATTCTGCACAACTTTTTCTGTATGTAGCGCCGTATTTATTCTAAGCTTTTCAAATTAAATACACAGAAAAAAATAAAAATCGGTTTCAATTAAAAAATTCGCATTTCCAATTAAAAAATTGTTTAATTTTGCACCTGTAAAGAAATTCGTTCAAGCAATTAAACGGAATTAATTGAAATAAATTTAAATAACATATTAATTCCAGCGAACAAAAGTTTTATTAAACTGTTTTTAAATTTCTGATTAATTATTTAATTATGTCAAATAAGTTTTTAATTAAAAAAATTATATTTTATAACGATTTTTTTTTAATTGCTTCAATTAAAAAAATAATTGATTTTTAATGAAAAAAGCAATTAATAATTTAATTGATTCAATTAAAATTTTAATTGAAATATGTATAATTTTAATTAAAGTTTTAATCAACACAATTAATGTATTAATTAAAATGTATTTTATTTTTTATAAAATTTTTGTAGTATTAATTAAAAGTTTAATTGAATTGAAAAATATATAAATATTTTTATATAAAAATTTAAATTTTATTTTTTTCATTAAATAAAATTACTTTTCTTTTACACTTTTATAAATTATTATAATAATTATAATTATTTAATAAGAAATAGTTTTTTGTAAATTTTTTAAAAATTATATTAGTACAATAATTGACTATGTTATTACATAGAATACAATCAATTAATTTAAGTGTAAAACAAACAATTTCTTTTCATAGATTGAAAAATAATGTTTAGAAAATAATGTAATTTAAATTTTGATAATAAAGAAGCTTTTCGAATTCATTTTAAATCTTTAAAATTTCATGTTTTAATAACGAAACTTTTGCGAATTTTTTGGAGGTTGGCAAATCATATAATACAGATTGAACAAAATTATAAAAAACTTCCGATTCTTAAGGGAATTCAACATTAAAAACAAAAAATAATTTGAACAAACAATCAAATGCATCTAAAAAGGTTAAAAATGGAAACTTTAGTCTATCGAAATAAACATAAATAGTTTTAATATCATATAGATATCCAACAATAAGAAGTCTAGGTTGAATGTTACGTCCTTGCAACTGAAGAAGTTTTAATTTGGTCTCTAACTCTTCATCTCATGTTGCTAATACAGCAAAGCTTTCTTGAGAGTCCGCAACAGAGTATCTCTTTCTAATTTTTTCTCCATTTGGAGAGGTGGTAATAGTATGTTGAGGAGGGAAGAGTTTGTGCGCGTGCCAAAAGATGGTGAATGTTTTGACTCCGAAAATAGACAGAAACATATCATTATTCTTAATTATAAAATAAAAGATTTAGCTTAATGTATTTTTAAATTTGGTTAATTTAGTCAAACTGTTTACTATAAATACTTACCTTCGTTGTTTGATCCAACTTTTTGCAGGTCCTTGAGGAGGATAGAGCAACCAGATTTGCTTTTTAAGATGTTTAAAATGCTATCTTCGAGTTGAGTCCATCTATCCTTTAGGCACTTTGCCTAATTTCAGTATAAAATCTATTTGCCTAATTTCAGTATAAAATCTATATTAATCTGAAAATGTAAATAAAGTTAATTAAAAATAATTCAAATGGAAACTACTTTTCTAGATTACTTACAAATTGGAAAGCTGACGGCTTTGTATATTCTGGCCACAAATTGAGTATCTCGGTCGTTGTTTTGGCTTCAGCGATTTGTTTAAAACGAAGTGAGGTCAAAATCATCTGCAGTGATCTTATCGCTTCGAAGAGTTTGGACTAAAACCACATAATTTTCTGTTGCTTCTATTTAAATAAAAAAAATAATATTTTTTAGTTTAATTTGAAATGTAATCATATTAACGCTTTTTTCAACTTACCGCATTCAAAATTTCCCTCTTCTGATGATTTTTGTTCCTTAAATAGTTCTTTAGACGATCGCTTTAAATTGGCCAACTTATTATATATTTTGCCCCTTTTTCCGTTAGTATAAAAAGACTGAAAATAATTATTATAAGTAAATATTTAGTAATTTTAGGTAAATTTATAATTACCAGCTCTTCGGTTGGAAATATGGTGCAAATTTGTTTTTCTAGCTCCGCACATTCTGATAGAGATACTTCACAGCCATTTAGGTCTAAATACTGAGTAATTGTACTGATTAATAAGGTCCGGTGCTCTTCCTGAAGGATCTGGTGTTTATCATAATATTTTAGTATCTCTGTTCCACTTTTGGTGCTGGATAGGATGTCAGAAACGGAAAGTAATGATCGCTTAATGCCTGCTTTCGCATTATTCGTTTCCATGTTGAAATCTCTCTCGTATCCAAAGTTTTTTTTCCAATTTTGTAATTCGAACTCAAAATGGGCTTGATCACCAGTTCGTAAAGTAGAAAATATTTTCTTTATATGATGGGGTTGTAGAATTTTTAATGTATTTATTGTTATATTTTCTTCTGTAAAATATAAAAAACAAAAAATTATTTAGAAGTTTTATTATTAGGAATAAGTTAATATAAGTTGAATGAACTATACTTACCTTTAAATTTATCATATAAATGTTGGAGATTCCATTTAGATAACAATTCATTGACATCCATATTGATTGAGTTGTAAATTACTTTTTGTTGTAGATTTCATTCGGTGAAGTTTTTTATTTTCGTAAACGTTTTTATAAAATTCTTTTAATTTAAACAAATTTTTTCCATGAGTTGTTTTAATTTCATTTGTAGGGGGTCCAACAATATCATTAATATTTATAAAGGAATACTCCTTTGAAATATCTAAATATTCAAAAGCTACGTAATGAGTATTAAATCCAAAAAAATCTTATTACAACAAAGAATTATTTCACCAAGTGTAATCTTAATTATTAAATTAATTTTAAATAATTCAAAATCATCTGTAAATATAGCAATTACTTTTTTGAATCTTAAAAATAGCCCCATATATTTGCTTCTAAATGTATTTAAAATGAAATCTTTGAAAACATCCACTATATGTGAATTCATATACAATATTGGATGGAATTACGTGGTGCTTTAAATGAGCAAAATAGAGCTCGATTGAGTCGTAAAAATTTACACATAAAAAACACTTAATTTCCATAGCAATAAAACTAAAACAACTCATCAAAAAAAAAAAACAAATTATTAAATAATATTTACACTCTTTTAAACAACGCGAAACAATTTAATTTGGTTTAATTTAATTTTTCCACTTTATTATATTTTAATTTGCAAATATTTCTTAACACACTTTTTTCACAAAAGAATGAAAAGAAAAAAAAAAACACCGTTTTAACAACAACGCTAAGCAACAATGAATACACACACACACTAACGTACGAATATAAATAAATACCGACCACGACCTCACGCAACAAATTCTTTTACAATACTAAAGGACTTGTCAAGCTTTGATCTGCATCAAATGTACTTTTTCTTTTGTTAAAAACCGGTTTATTTTTTTTTTTTGTTTTTGATTTTTGGTATACACACATTAAAAAAGTAATGCAAACTATTGCAAAAAATATATAAACTAGCGTTTATAGTCACTAACTTATACATTTTATATATAAATAAGGGTGTTTTTTCTCATTTGTTGATATTAACATCATTGTTTATTGCAAAGTTCGAAAAACAATTAAAAAATTGAATTGAGCCAATTAAATATTTAATCAAAGCTGTTTTTTGGTCAGTTAACGCGTTAATTGAAAAAAAAGAGCCTATAATTTTTTTGTGTAATAATTTTGAATAACTTCAGCACACATTTTCCATTTACCATATACAAATAATAAGTAAAATTATTTGGGTATCTGCTTTGTACATCTAACGATATTCTTCATATTTTTTAGAACAGAAAAAAACTTAATTTTATTATTTTTAAAGGAATTTGAAATCTTCCAAATTTTTCATAATTTTGTGCAGAATGCTTCATAATCGTTTCAGAGTTTCTTCAATTGCCAGTACTTATTCAAATAGAAAGAAAATCGCTTGAAATTTTGTACGGTTAATGGTACGTATTTTTGTAGTCAATAAAACGCACCGAAGCCTTTTGTCTTTATACACCAAGGGCACTACAATTAAAGTACAGTGTGACCGAATTTAAACTAAACAGTTCTTTAAATCAACTGCACATAGGAAAAATAAAACAACTAATTTGAAAGTGTCCTTAGTTCCCTACCAGTGATTGAGAATGCTGATTTCAGTATAATTTCTCAAAAAAAGTTTCCTAAATCCTATATATATATATATAAAACAGACTGTTTGTTTGTTACGCTTTCACGGCAAAACTACTGAACCGATTTACATAAAATTTGGACAGCTAATAGGTCTTATCCCCAAAAGGAACAATAGGCTATATAAGACCCTTATCGGATGCCACGCGCCTTTTTACACCAACTTTTTGTAAAACAATTATTAAACCAAATTTACGTACAGGCATACAAAAAACTACCGATCCGATTTTCATGAAATTTGTTATAATGAATGTTGTGGAATGAACAGTACGATACATTACATCTTCAAAACCTATAATATATAATAATAAATGTATGAGACTTTTTTTTACTCTTTCACTACATAACTAATGAACTTATTTACATAAAATTTGGCATTTAAAAGGTCTAACCTCAGAAGTTAAAAAAAACTCTATATGGTATTGATTGGATGCTACGCACATTTTTATGTTCATTTTTTCAATAACAGCTATAACACCAAATTTCTAGGCTAAATATAAAAAACATGAACCGATTTTCAAGAAATTTGGCAGCAGACAGTGTATTATACCCTCCACCACCATCAGTGGTGATAGAGGGTATATATAAGTTTGTCATTCCGTGTGTAACACCAAAAAATATTCATATGATACCCAACAAAGTTATATATTCTGGGTCCTTATGAAATTCTAAGTCGATTTAGCTATGTCTGTCCGTCTGTCTGGTTAAAACACGTTCACGTTAAAACTAAGCAAATGAAATCAACCAAATTCACTGAGAATATTCATTATTTTCCTAAGCAGTTTGGCATTGAAAATTAGCAAAATCGGTTCATAGCTTAAAAAGTTTTGAGTAAAAATTTCAGACTACCTCGAAAAAAATTAAGTATTTTTCCTAATACTTGAGTTTTCTCAGAAACTACCAAAGATAATTCGACAAATTTTGTCACAGATTATTTTTTCCATCTATAGATTAATTATGTTTAAAATTGTAAAAATCGATCCAAAATTTCTCATACCCCCCTACAAAGGTACACGTTCCCGGAAATTAATTTATCGATAATAACTTCCTCAAATATGAACATAAATCAAACTACTGACTTAGATCTGTATCGGCCCACAATTGGTCATAGCTCCCATATAAGGTCCACTTACGAAAATCACTTAAATGAACATATTTCATTGATAAATAAAGCTATCGGGATAAAATTATACAATGAGTATGTTTTGTGTATACATAAATCACTCTACGGAATTTTTCTCCGTGTCGGTCCATAACTGGTCATAGCTCCCATATAAGGTCCACATCCTAAAATCATTTAAACAAGCTTAATTCATTGATAAATAAAGCTATCGGGATAAAATTCGACATGAATGTGTTTTGTGTATATATGAATTACTCTACGAAATTTATTCCGGATCGGTCCATAATCGGTCAGAGCTCCAATGGCCGAATTTCATTAATTTATTTGGTATCGTTTTTACGTGAGCGTGTTTTACACAGACAGACGGACGGACATAGCTAAATCCACTCAGAATTTTATAAGGACCCAGAATATATATACTTTGTTGGGTCCCAGATGAATATTTCTTGGAATTACACTCGGAATGACAAAGTTATATATACCCTCTATCACCACTGATGGTGGTGTAGGGTATAATAAAAACATTTAAATTTATTCTTAATCTAGATAACAATAAAAATCTATGATCAGGTAAATATGCCATCAAAAAATTATCTTGATATAAATTCGGTTTCCATTTTTCAAATTCAGCTCTAATCTAAAAAACCATGCAGATATGTATTTGACTACTCATTAGAGTGTCCCGAAAAACAACACTTTTGCAAATCTTATATAGGTTGACCTCTCAAACGATGCATAGAAAGCATTGTTCATATAAAAATTTAATAAATTGATCTTTCGATATCTTTTTATACTTTTAGAAAATTATGAACTAAAAATTCTGCACAACTTTTTCTGTATGTAGCGCCGTATTTATTCAAAGCTTTTCAAATTAAATAATAATTTTGAATAACTCCAGCACACATTTTCCATTTACCATTTACAAATTCTGAAATTTATTTTAATTAGAGGAAGACGTGGATATTTTAATAAGTAAAATTATTTGGGTATCTGCTTTGTACATCTTACGATATTTGACCCTTATTTCTTTGGATTTAATAAGTGGTGTCTAAATTCAGTCAAAACCTTAGTGAGGATGTATAAAAGCTAATGAATAAAAATAATATGTTAAGGCATACTTTTATATAAATGGATATATTTTTGAGAAACAATGATGAAACAAAAACGGTGAGTAAAACCACTGAACTACTCAAAATTGATTGTCAAATAAAAAGTTGTTTTGTTTTCTCTGTCAAGATTCAAGGATTCTTCATATTTTTTAGAACAGAAAAAACTTAATTTTGTTATTTTTAAAGAAATTTTAAATCTTCCACATTTTTCATAATTTTGGGCAGAATGTTTCATAATCGTTTCAGAGTTTCTTCAATTGCCTGTGCTTTTTCAAATAGAAAGAAAATCGCTTGAAATTTTGTACGGTTAATGGTACGTATTTTTGTAGTTAATAAGATGCCCCGAAGCCTTTTGTCTCTATACACCAGGGAAAAATAAAACAACTAATTTGAAAGTGTCCTTAGTTCCCTACCAGTGATTGAGAATGCTGGTTTCAGTATAATTTCAAAAAAAAAAGATTCCTAAATGTTTCTAAAAATTGGTCAAAATTTCCTAAATAAAACTCATTTTCAATCTGTAAATTTTTAAGGGACATTTTTGTCCAGAAACTGACTTTAAGTATTAAACAAAATGCAGAAAAATATAATAACTTTTTTATCATTATAAGCTAAATTTTGACATCTATTAAAAAGTATAGTCATTACCAGTGTTGCCAGAACTCCCTCAGAATAAAGTGCAAAATGACGGTCAAAAAAAGTGCAAATTCGTTTAAAAAAGTGCTAAATTCAAATCAAGTTTTTAAAAGTCCATTAAGCCATGTTTACCCGTCTGTGCGGCTGGCTGTCCAGGTATAATGTACAGGTCGCAATTTTTCACATAATTCAACGAAAATGCAAAAAACTATTTCAAATTGGTCCATGATTTGACCTTGCCTATATAAATATTCCTTTACAAAATCAATAAGGGGTAATTAAAAAAAATTCGAACAAAAAAGTAGGATTTTGAACATGACCCTCCCCGATTTCGATGAAATTCGGTACGCACATTCTTCATGTAAATACGGAATTTAAAGTTCTCCATTGTTTCATTCTAAAATTTTTATATTTTATTGAAAACACTATAAGCAATCTTATGTGAAGGAATAAAGAAAATGTAAGGTACACTTTTTGAGATATCCTTGATTAAAGGACGTTGTTTGATGTCATCATCCTTACGTTAAAACTGAAATATTTTAAATAAAATCTTTTCAAACTGCAAGACATAGGTTTTAATTAGGAACTAAAACGATAAATATTTTAGAAAATATACGATGTCAAATTTAATGCTTGTTGAAAAAAATCTTAAAAAATTTGAACTTTGAACCTTGATAAAATCTAAACCGTAATGAATTTGGAAATTTTGGAGAACTTTAAACTTCGTATTAATACAAAGAATGTGTGTACCAAGTTTTATTAAAATCGCAAAGGGTAAGGTACAAAACCTGTTCGAAAATTTGTTTAATGCCCCTAAGAATAAGTATATACATATGTATATGTATTTAAATAACTAATAACACTAGGTGACAACGATTTTGTTTAGGATATAAAACCTATATGGTTTTCTTTATTTAGGACGTCTAAGACCAGAAAATGTTGGTATTTTCTTTCAAATATATTTGTGGAAGTTCAACAATAAAAGACCGTTGAGTGGTATAGAGAAATTAACAATTATATTTATTAATATTAAGATTATAATTCAATTTTGTTCTTTACTTCACAATGATTTATATTGGAATGCAAAAATCAAGTATTTAACAAAAATCTGTAACAGTGATTCTTTTGACAGTATAACAGTTTAATGTGTTGGGCTTGTGTTCAGTGTTGCAAATACTCAACAAACTCCCCCTCAAGCCTAATACATTAGCAAATAAAAAATTGCAATTTAAAATTTAATAGTTTACAACCATTTAAATGTTTGTTTTTACATAAAACTTTTGTTAGTATGTCTGCTGC